ATTGAAATTAAACTCAACATGTTATTTACAAGATATTTATTTCGCTATTAATATTCAAAACAAAAATAAAAGTTCTCTATAATATTAAAACATCTCTATACCGTACAGAGGCTAACATGCTGGAGTATTTACATTTCACATCAATAAGAATTTCGTGTAGAGCGTGGAAATAATTGAGTTTTGGTGGATGATAAAACACTGCTAAGAGCAGCATGGGAGTAAAAAAGCATGCTTTAATTGCTTGCACTACTCCCCGATAGATGTCGCTAAACCCAATCTTGGGCACGAAGGGCATGGGGCCAGCTTACTCCTTTTAGAATCACGCTGAATCCAGCAGTTCAGGAAATAGAACAAGATTTCTTCATTAAAATGACAAAGTCATTTTATTATGCTCTACGTTTATAGGTTTTACACTTTGCAACGGGGTGGTTTTGTGTAGAATTATTGTATTATTTATTGATCATCAACATTCTAACACCACCACTAATAACCTTGTCGCACTATAACCGCGATTTCTTTATTTCAACCACCACACTGATTTTACATAGTGTCTGTTGGTCTTTGAATGAAATGATGAATTTTGTAAGTGCTGCAATAATTAATATCCGTTGCAAAATATAAGAACGTCGCTTAAAATATTGACAATAATCATAAAAGTTACCGAGAGTTTAGGTATCACATAACACAACCAGATTTTTACACTTAACGTCTTGACTATTTTATAAGACGATTATTTTACTAAAACTTTATTTCATATCAATAAAATGATTGACCACTGCCCGTTTCCTTAGACACTTAGGCAAGTGATAAGACCGTACCTACTCGATAGCGGCGTCAACTGGGCGCAATTGTGGAAATGCTGTATTAATTTATCTCTCAGAGCAATGATCTTCAAGTGGTTAATAATGAAGTGATATTTTATTTTCTTGTTAAATCATAAGCTCTAAGATACAGGTAGAAACCTGGGATGATTTAGCTATGGATTTATTTGTTAAAAATATTTCACAACAATACACTTTCGGTATAGGTCTAGGTAGTTAGGTTTATAATACGGCGGTTCTAAGTACTTCCAACCGAGTCACTTCTACATTCAGAGACCCTAATAAATTCATGAAATGTTTATTAATACATTAGAATTATCCGATTGACATTTTGTAGTGTAGACTAAACCCTACAAATATTTTTGTTACAGAATATCTTAATAATATCAAATTATCAAATAATTATAAAGAAAGTAGCACACTTTTCAAACCGGAAAGGGAGCGTAACCCGTATCAACTCAAGGCGGTTCTTTGTATGGCGCGCGAAAGGCAACGACGGCTCGCGAAAGGCGATACGGTGTTGATCCCTTTCCGAGTTGATAAGTCTGCTATGACCTTAGCATTATATTTTTCAAGACGATTTGATATGTCACCTAATAATTGGTGAACAAATTGAAAACATTTGTAGTAAATTAGCTTCACATGAATATTTATTATCCTAAAACACGTAGACATCACAAAGTTATACTATACACAAATATTGTCAAAGAGGAACTTCAATTTATTGCATAAACGTACACAATATTGTTTCACATGGACTATTCAGATATTTTTACAGACACGACAATTTTACGTGCGCAGTGCGCCATTGTTAGGCCAGTTGGTTTCATCAACCAGTCAGAGAATTACATAAATAGCCTCAAATTTTTAGGGTTAAAACCGTTTGTATGCACATATCACCTTTATCTTAGCATAGAACAGCGAAAAATCCGAAATACGACTTACTGCCTTCATCCATTCATTTTTCCGTTAGCAGATTTGACTGTTACTTTGCTTCGTTCAACTTTTTGTAACCGCTGTCAATTCAAAGTGTCGATATTAATCTGAATAATCCATGGCAAATACACAACTATTCTATTAATACTTATCCTAATTAAGTTTTAATGATCTTAATTTAATAACATTTACTTAAACTAATAAATATTTGATAAACAAATGATATGAAAATAAATTATAGGTAACTTTGTTATCGAAATGCTTTGAGCGCGTCCATTAGTGCACAGAGAAAAACACAAAAACACTTAATTAATTATTTTATTTTATTTTCTGCAGTGCTAAAATTTTATGAAGGCCGTTGAATTCGCGCTCTCCAGTTGGCGCCAATTAGTCACGCCAGAGGCGCCAAGTGGTAAGCACAGCCCTGTGTATTTTTTTTAACAATTGCCACTACTTAGTACCACTACTCTCCGCTAGATGGAGTTAAATACTAGTTTATCGAATGTCGGTTATCTGCTAATGCTACAGAGAACGCAATTCTCTAAATAAATATAGCACTGACATTACTATTACACCTATTCAATTATTATTTCATTTCTACGAGTATATACAAAAGGCAAAGTTATTGCTTTAGTTTAAAATGGCTAGTTTTACAAAATTTTACATCTATAAATTACATCATACGTGACAAGGGGTTCCGGTTCCTAATTTTGTGACGCCTTAATTTCAAAATCTAAGGCTGAGTTGTACCACCAAACTTTGACCGTAACTATAACGATAACCGGTGATTTTTGTATGAGTTTGACAGATTTTTGACGTTTGTTACAGTCAAAGTAAGATGGTGCAACCCACCCTAAGTAATTTTTGCAAGTTTGGCGAAAGTTGGATTTTCCAAATTTAGGTTTTCGCAAGTTAGGTTTTCGCGAGTTAGGTTTTCGCAAGTGAGGTTTTCGCGAGTTAGTTTTTCGCGAGTTAGGTTTTCGCAAGTGAGGTTTTCGTGAGTTAGGTTTTCGCGAGTTAGGTTTTCACAAGTTAGGTTTTCCAAGTTAGGTTTTCGTGAGTTAGGTTTTTGGCAAGTTAGGTTTTCCAAGTTAGGTTTTCGCAAGTTAAGTTTTCGTGAGATAGGTTTTCACAAGTTAAGTTTTCGCGAATTAGGTTTTCGCGAATTAGGTTTTCGTAAGTTAGGTTTTCGTGAGTTAGGTTTTCGCGAGTTATGTTTTCACAAGTTAGGTTTTCGCGAGATAGGTTTTCACAAGTTAGGTTTTTCAAGTTAGGTTTTCGTGAGTTAGGTTTTCGCAAGTTAGGTTTTCGCGAGTTAGGTTTTCGCGAGTTTGGTTTTCGCGAGTTTGGTTTTCGCGAGTTAGGTTTTCGCGAGTTAGGTTTTCGTAAGTTAGGTTTTCGCGAATTAGGTTTTCGCAAGTTAAGTTTTCGCGAATTAGGTTTTCACAAGTTAGGTTTTCGCAAGTTTTCGCGAATTAGGTTTTCGTAGGTTCGGTTTTCACAATTTAGGTTTTCGCAAGTTAGGTTTTCGCGAATAGGTTTTCGCAAGTTAAGTTTTCGCGAATTAGGTTTTCACAAGTTAGGTTTTCGCAAGTTTTCGCGAATTAGGTTTTCGTAGGTTCGGTTTTCACAATTTAGGTTTTCGCAAGTTAGGTTTTCGCGAATAGGTTTTCGCAAGTTAAGTTTTCGCGAATTAGGTTTTCACAAGTTAGGTTTTCGCAAGTTTTCGCGAATTAGGTTTTCGTAGGTTCGGTTTTCACAAGTTAGGTTTTCGCAAGTTAGGTTTTCGCGAATAGGTTTTCGCAAGTTAAGTTTTCGCGAATTAGGTTTTCGCAAGTTAGGTTTTCCAAGTTAGGTTTTCGCAAGTTAGGTTTTCCAAGTTAGGTTTTCGCAAGTTAGGTTTTCCAAAGTTAGGTTTTCGCAAGTTAGGTTTTCCAAAGTTAGGTTTTTCCAAGTTAGGTTTTCCAAGGATAGATTGTCGTAAGTTAGGTTTTCGCCAGTTATGTTTACCCAACCTTATTTTTCAAAGATAAAAGGTAGGTAGGTTCCTGTGTCAACGTCTTGAATGTTAGGTCCGGTTATAATTACCTTAATGAGGTTTTGTTTTGGAACCTAGAATTTCAAGGGACAGACTTAGGAAGTTTGGTTTTCGAATTTATAATCATTATTATTTCGTGTGACGTAATTTATAGATGATCTTTCTTCATGATAGGTACTATCTCAAACAGCCGCCAGTTTTCTAATTCAATGATGCTTGATGACGGTTTATAGTTTTAAAAATTACCCTACTACAACTTACCTACTAATTTTTAAATTACACAATACTTACATTAGTATTTTGGCAAGATGGAGTTAAAACTTCACAAATTACTTATTATTTGCAATTTGAGAAAGTCATAGTACATACTGCATATCGAGTAACTTAAGTTTTGTATAGCCGTCGATTTGATCTTAATAAATACTTAACCCGGTCGAGTTAACTGCGCATCTAGCAGAGGTGACGTCACATCGCCGCTCTGGTACGGGACGGGGCGAACGCGGGGAGGTGTGCGGGTGAGTGCGAGGAAGAGTTGCATTCCAGCGAGGTGCGCAGTTAGCTGATTGGGTTATAAGTGTCCCATTTTGGTTTTTACTTGAGATTAGGTATCTGCTAAAAGTTAATAGTGCCACTTTATTATAGTTAGTTTTATTCCTCAGATCTAAAAGTTGACACAAGTAATCTTCAAAAAGGTTTGAGGATTGAATCTCACATAGAGATTTTTTTATTTCGGAGTTAAGATATATTTTTTTTGCGGTTTTGAAAGAAAGAAAACAAGACACTGGCCATGTGGTTTGCACATGGCCAGTGTCTTGTTTTCTTTGCGCGAAAGAAAATTTGACAGTTCGCGAAAGCTAAGGCGATTATCACACCGCACCGCGCTCCGCCGCGGGACGACAGAATTAATCATTATAAGCAAGTACCTCAATTTGTATAGAAAACACGCGCGGCACAACACACTGACTACGCCACGCGGACCGCGGCGGAGCGCGGTGGCGGTGCAGTGTGATAATCGCCTAAGATAAAAAAACTTGACAGTTGTTTCGCAAACCCTTCGCTCCGAACCTTGGCTCCGACGTTTTTTGACAGGAGGGCGCTACTATCAATACTGGGTTATTAGTTCCGATTTTTGCCACTTGACATTTCAGAATCGTTAACCTACCCACAAGTTGTCCCTCAAGAAAGCTTAAGGTACTCCCGGCAAAGAATGCTTCCCTCAGAGTACCTGCCAATTTATTGGTATTACCATCTAAATAAAAAGCCTAATACGGCAAGTTGTCCCTCAAGAAGGCTTGCTTATGGTACCCCCGGCTGAGGCACCGGCCCCACCAGGATCGCTTGGTGCAGATCTTCACTGGTTTCAGCACGAAACACTTGGTCTGGACCACGTTGAAGAACAGCTTGCCCACCATGTTGGAGACTGAGGTGTCTGCCAGCTTGAGACACGCGCGGAACCTGAAATGATGGAGAGGGTGGTGAAACTTGGTAATACGAACAATCTAAATCTAAATCTAAAATAACTCAAAGGTGACTGACTGACTGACTGACTGACTGACATAGTGATCTATCAACGCACAGCCCATACCACTAGACGGATCGGGCTGAAATTTGGCATGCAGGTAGATGTTATGAGGCATCCGCTAAGAAAGGATTTTACGAAACTCCACCCTTAAGGGGGTAAAACGGGATCCACGCGTAAGAAGTCGCGGGCGGCCGCTAGTATTACATAAGCTAGTTTTTCATCGCCAAAGAGGATTGAACTACGGGACCATTCCCACCTCTCGTTCCCACCGCTACAAATCCTGTGTAGCCAGGATCTACAGACTGACCGCCAATAAAACCCAACCAGTGACGGTCAAGTTGATCCCGGGGGAAAGTTAAACTGTCATTGGACTCGCAACGAAATTAATCAGAAGAACATAGGAGTTCGAAGTTAGGGTTCGACTTTCAGTGCAAAGAGAAAGGAAGGTCATTCTGTAAAATAGAGTGCTTTTCCACCTCTTTTTGCCCTCTTTATCATTTTCTCTCGACTCGTTGGTGGAAACAGATGATAATGCAAATGCAATCAAAATAAAATGTCCCGTTATCCCTACCTAGAGTCAGATTAACCTTCTTCCCAAATATTAAAATGTTACGATGCTGACACAGAATCTGCGTGCGCGTCTCCATATTAAAGCTGTCATAATGTCACACCATAAAACTTGAAATAGGAAGTGAGTTATTCGATTATAGAAGGACATTTACGACACATTGTCCTATAAAATTTGCATTATTAAACGGTCTGAGGCAAATCAAAAACACTGTGGCATCAAGAGTAAAAGCGGTATTCACAAAGGATGCTTGCCTAAGTGAAACAGCAAATCGAGCGCATAGCGTTAAACAGAGCTCTGTGATTGGTTCGTTTGTGATCTTGTGCGTCCACGCGCACTGTGAGACCTCATAGTAATGTTTGTGAATATGGGTGTCAGTATCGTATGTAAGTACATAAGCCGGAGTGCAGGTGCGGTTTTGTTCCCCAGTCGATGAAGCACCTGTCATGCCCTGAGTGCCCAAGCAACTGCACTCAGGAGGATTTGATGTATGCTACTGACAACGCCGCTCTTGTGGCGGAGTTTTGGGCTGACACTGTGTAGGTTTGTTGTCGACACGAAAAGAAGAAGAAGCCGGTTTTCTTTAATTAGAGATTAATTTAACCAAAAATAAACTATAATTTCGGGTTTGCCCGCCTCTGTATTCAGGTAATCCTCACTTTTAAACAGTTTCATAGAGTTCTACTAGTTAATTTAAGAATTTAACAATTACAAGATTTTTCTGCGACAAAGCAAAGTTTTTTATAACTTTTAAGAGTTTGAGTTTTGGAATCATTAAAAGTACCTAATTATTATTATAAAATATGTCCCTGGTTGACGCTCTTTTCAAGATTGTTTCTACAGAATATCAGCATTCATGTTCTGAATGGAACATGATATAAGCTGAGTAGGAGCTATTTTGGTTCAATAAATTATCTATATTATTTAAATTATGTAAAACGTATCATGTTTGAATCAAATAAACTATTTTTCTTTCTTTCTTTTTAAAATAAATTAAGCGCTACGTGAAATCCGCCATTTTGCGCGCCAAATCATAGGCAAAATAAATCCAATAAAATCAGACGCATCGTAACTTCTCTGGACATTATCGTTTGATGGCACACTAATATTAAGTGCGAACTCTTCAAAATCGATCATATTTCTGGTTTAGATTCAGGCTGGCCGGTTTATGGCGGCGCCGTGTGTCATCGCTTCCAGCCTTTTTATTGCGTTGCAGTTATGGCTAGAGATGGGTAGTGGGTAAAAACCCATTTCACCCGATTGGGTTAAAACGGGGTGATTTGGGTAAAAACCCGGTTTTTACCCATTATCACCCATTCTGGAGGGTGAAAACAAAAATAGCGTTTTTTTAAAGTGAGAAGTGGTATTTGTTGCTAAGGGGGCGTTCTAGTGTTACGTAATGCAATCTGGGGGGAGAGGAGGTCATGAAAAACGTTACAATGCGTTACAGTGGCGGAAGGGCGGTTCGATTTCAAGTTTTTAAGCAGAAGTACTTTGTAGTTCGTGTTGTTATTTGTAACTTTATACGGTAATGTCATCAAAGAGAGAGTTTGGCATCTTTGGCATTCCCCCCTCCATGTCCTTGCCATGATCACAAATTATTGTGTTCCTACTAAATTTATTCTAAATCGGTTCAACGATTCTTGAAATAACACCATTTTATAAAATAATTGGTCACATCATCATAACGTCATCAATTTTACGATTTGGCCACGATATAAATGCATATTAGTGTTAAATTTGACTTATTACTTATTAATCAATAAACTTAAATGAGAAAATTCAATAAAAATAAAGAAAAGATACCAATTGAAATAATTATAAAATTATTTGTTTTCACCCGGTGTAAACACCCACGGGTGGAATGAAACGGGTTTTTATTGGGTTTTTACCCTCATGTGGGTTTTTACCCGGGTGGAAACCCATCTCTAGTTATGGCGGCTATTTTACGTTTAAATCTTGAGACGATTTTCCTGTGTTGCGGATTTAGGCACGCGTGCGAATCCAATCCGCGTGCGTGTAAAATCACGCTGGTTGCACGCAGGACAAAGATTTCGCATTTAAATGCGCCCGCGTGCCGAAATCTGCATTTCAGGAAAAAGGCACTAAAGCGCTTGAAATGTTCAAAGACTAACCCCCTTACTAATAAAAAGTTACAAGTTACAAGTTGTTGAACACTGTTTTAAAATGACATTTCCATACTAAACGTCACTTTAAAACACTGTTCAACGAGCGTGTAAGTTTTATTAGTAAGGGGGTAAGTATTTTATAGAAAGAAAGAAGACAAAGTATTAACCATTTGGTTTTTACTAGACATGCTTGTTGTTCTAAACAAAAAAAAAATAGTAGATTCGTAGGAAATATCAAAATGAGAGGACACAATTTAGGCGCTCTTGTAGCTAGGAAAATCTAAGGACAGAATTTAGACTTTGGTGCTTCAAATGTTTTATTTATGTAAAATTCTAAGTCCCGAATAAAACTAAGCTGAAACTGAAAAAAAGTTTTATGTATCTTTGTGTGTGTTAATAACGTTTTTTCATTATTATTTTTAAACTAATAACGAATACCTGCCACAGACAACCTCCTCAAATACCCTCATTGTCTATGCCTGGCTCTGTCCGCGCATTAGGGGAATATATTACAGGATGCACCGCGGCAAGTGGCCTGCGTTCGACAGGTTATGGCAGCGCGCCATTTTTGACGACATCTTTGTTTTGGTTGTAATGCAATGGCTGATAAAATAGTGAAATAAAAATTAGTAATTTCATTTGATTTTTAAAATGTTGTCTTATACGTCAAAAGTCTGTTAACTACATACAAAAAACACCGGTTAAGGTTATAGTTACTGTTAAAGTGAGACAGTGCCACTCAGCCATAGTAATTTTTAATTGTTTCGCGTACTAAGTAAAGTACGTAAGTTTGCCGGTCCGTGGAATGCGCGTCCCCTCCCCCAACCGCGATTAAACGTAATTAGTTAGTGATTCATCATCATCATCATCATTTCAGCCATAGGACGTCCACTGCTGAACATAGGCCTCCCCCAATGCTTTCCATGTTGATCGATTGGTAGCGGCCTGCGTCCAGCGCTTCCCTGCTACCTTTACGATGTCGTCGGTCCACCTTGTAGGTGGACGTCCCACGCTGCGTTTTCCAGTACTAGTTAGTGATTAAACGCAATTAATGTATCTTATTTTACGCAAATACACAATTTTTATCAATAATAATAAATACAAAATATTCTAAATATAGTTTGAGAAAGTTATAGACGCTTCCCTTCGAGTGACGTCATAAAGCGAACGGATAGTACCTATTTTGCCCCTCTTTTAGCCGATGACAAAAAATCTAAATTCTAAATTTAAATCTGCGTTCCAATCAAAAAAACAAAAGCAAAAATATTTTTTCGGCAATCGTACCCCTACAGTTCCTACTCTGCCCCCCACAGCCGGGCCTAATGTCATATCATTAATACACATTAGTTCTGGTGCAGTCAATAGACTGTCACCCCTCAGAATTATCGTCACGTTCTCTGCTACGAGATGACAAAAAAAGGAAAATTAAACGCGCTCAATAGTGTTTTGTATTATTTTGCACAGTGCAACAAGTATTTCAAATCATAGCATAATACATAATATTATTTTGTCTTTTGAAGCAGAGAATTCGTAAATTATTATTTTGATTATGCCATAGCTTAATTCGTAATAATAATTATTATGTATTTTTAAACAAAACAGAGACAAATAATGCGTATATTAAATGCTTTGTCAAAGCGTAACTAATCATGCGTAAAATATTTACAAAAAAATTAAATTAAATTTAAATAAAAAGTTACAATGCGTAAAATTATTTGTAATAGAGCCATAGGGGTTAAAGTATGAAATTGCCGATTTTCTCTTAATTTTTATTTTATTATGTTTATGACTAAAAATAAGACTGTAAATTCGATCAATTTTACATAAAACTTATTTCATATTTTCCCACGCTCGACTCTGAGCAAGTACCTGCATAAATTCTTTAGCTTTATTACTAGAAGTAAGGAATATATTTATAATTATAAAAAGCATATTTTTCATAATCATAAAATCTACTATTAATAGACTAACTTCGTATAGCTTACCCATCGACGTAATATTAAATAGCGTAGTTTCCCGCGGTCATAAACCATTTTTAAGTTGGTTTTTGAATCCTACGTAATTCAAAATTTAAAATAACTTAACAGCGTTTCCCGCGCATTCTCAATAAAATTATTGTACTAAAGATTTATAATTGTAGTACCTATTGAAATTTATTCACGTGCAAATTGCTTTAATAATAAATGTTTACAAAACTATGGTAGAATTTTAAGACAAAAAATTTACATAAACCTTT